GCCAATCAACGACCAGCACGCCCTGGGCAGGAGGAACTTTCTAGAACGGCCTCAGCGGCTGGCACTCCTTTGGGCGGGATGTTCCAGAAGGCGCAGGGGCCAACATTGATAGAGCCTCTTTGTGACGAGTTGGAACCCCTCGTGCCCGCAAGTTGCCAGTAAAGTGCTTGTCCTCCGAACCGGCTCTCTTCCCGTTCCACCTTCACTCCGGGCGATAACAATTTTAAAGTTCACGGGATGGCGGTCAACCGGAAGCGGGATGGTGTAGGGCGATGGGAACGGCGCGTTGGCCGCGAACATTCGGAGTATCGCCTCGCCACCCCCAGATGGATTAGGGTAGGTTGCATGCATGCTAGTGTTCGCCCGTCTTTTGGAGAAACACACTCGTTCGATGTGACCAATTTTCCTGCAAAATTGGCAAACCGTGTTCTGGTGTCTACAGTCTGACTAACTGATATGATTCTGACCACAACGCTAGCAGGATGGTGGTTGTTTTGAGGGAGCTGATAATTGCTGTTTAGGTGAAGACCCAGCAGTGTTGACAAGGGAGACAGCCACTTCAGGTTCCAAGGATGATATTACTCGATCGTTTGACTGATTCAGCTGCCGAAGGTTTTGCCGGACGCGTTCCTTATGATATCACAGACTTTCTCCCATGACAAATCCCTCTTCTCCGATAAGAGCCCTTCCATCGCGCAAACCAACGATCAACTGCTGAAAGAGCATTGCGTGCCTGAAGTTGTCTGCCTTGATCTATCTGTACTTAGAGTCCTGGATGGTCAGAGTCAGATTCGTAATAAATTCACTGACACATTGATTTGATTCCTGACGCATTTGACAAAACCGATAGCGACTGAGGACGTCGTCTTTTTCTCCCCACGCTGACTAGTTTTGTGAAGGCTGTTTGGAGACCTGTAGCCTCTTGTAAATTAAGGACGTCAAAATACCCTCGTCCGGCGGAGTTTCAACTGGAGGCAACGCCTAGTGCAATCGTGGGTAACAAAATAGGAAGTATGCCAATGTAATCCTCAAGGGTCTTTCTTCATTGCGACCACGAGTCAGTTGAGGGCTTCTGAGTGCTCTTTGGTCAGAAGGGTAACGGTGTAGGCAGCTATGAAACAGCGTTCGTCAAGCTTCATCGCCAGTGGTATGTATGCAAAACAGGTTAGCTTGTAGACAGGACGCGTACTGGGTACGGGAGAGAACACAAGTGGAGAGCCTTGTAGAAACGGCTGGGTATATGGCAAGGGGGGGAATGTCATAGGCTGAAGGGTGACCAATCAGCACCAAGGCTGTCTGAACGGAGATACACGACCTTGGTTGCGTGCATGTGACGTGATGTCTAGACAGTCCGGGCAGCATACTATACAATGACTTTCTGTCCGAAGCATGCTGCACGTTAAACACCACATCGAAATTAGACCCGTGGCGGAGTTTTGACTTCTTCGCCTTCGGCCGTCTCAACTTAGACCTGACTATCAACGCCGGGAAAACAGTGGCCCTCTATCAAACGGCGCCGAGTTCCGACTACACCGAAACCCGTATTAATGTCAGTAGAACTCATCTCGCAGAAGTGGAGGAATTCACGCGCCATGGGAGTGTGATTTTATGAAACACGAAGAACCACGACAAAATCACAAGTCTGATCTCCAAATTCAGCCAGGTTTTCAATCGACTGCAGCACTCCGTCAGGAACCGTTCCGGCGTCCTATTCAACACAAAATTGCGGATGTACAGGGGTGTCGTCAGGAAAGTGCTCTTGTAAGGGGCGAAGATGTGGATTGTTGATGAAAGGCCATGCAAGAAGACGCGATCATTTTCACTTCCATTCTCTCCGTGAAATACTGATGGTACACTGACAAGAAAGGATCCCGGACACGGAGATCTTGGAAAGGACTTGCTTTACCAACATCTACACTATTCCGAGGCTGGTAAAACTGCAATGAAGCGCCCATGTCGTGAGAACGAACGACAACCATCTGTTCAGACAGCTATTATACGGCGACGTAGCTGCGGGTGGTCGCAGACAAGGCGAACAAAGTTGTCGTTGCAAGGTCGCCCTGAGGACCTCCCTCAAATACCTGCAAATCATCCTGGAGACCTGAGAGGACCTCGCTCATGACCTATAGGCAGGTGCGCTGCCGTAAAGGTTGTGAAACAACCATCATCGGAGGGAACCAAATAGCCGCTGCCGAGCCAAAGATTGGCCCACAAGAGATAAGTGCTACGGAGCAACGACACCAGCACACAACCCCTGCAATCGTATCCACGTGCTCAACCGTCCTTTTATCTTATGGCCTTACCACCACCGCCACCACTGGCAGCACCAATATGGACACTTCTACTGACCTGCGAAGCATTGTCACCACTGTCCCTACCATCAAAACGAGGAGTTTATCCCAACCACTCACCAATGAAACCGAACTTTCTCCTCACACATAGGCCTGATAGGTCACTTGAGGATTCATCGCATAGAGACCAGTGCGCGTAGTCCCGACTTACGCTCGTAACACTTAGATAAAGGAATTCGTATTCCACGTGTTGTCGCGTGATTTTGGGTTACCTTCATGGAGAGTTACCAATGAAAGAAATTAAAGCAAACGTGCAAGGCAGGATTTATCGGTACCATCAAATTGCGTAACGATTCATTAACTGCGTCTTGTCGCTTCATAATATAAATATCGAGTGAGAAGAATACAGCGATTTGAAATCGTACAGAAAATAAATGCAAAAACCAAGGTTATGGTTTAGAGCAATACAGGCTAATCAGTAAAATGGGGACGTTTTAGGGACACTTCATTGATCCTAAAATATCTGTCTGAGTACTTAATTGGGCACGGGCAACTCAGGCACTGCGTTATCTGGGGGCGGCCTATATGCGGCGGATGAAACCAGATCTATGGAAACAGCTGGAACGTGTGGTTAGCCCAACGTTTTCATGGTAAACTCTAGCTCATTTATTTTCACATTCCCCTTCCCTTTTGCTCGTTCACGTTTTCCCACTACTAATTTTATGTATTAGCCGGTAACAATCGGGAGATGGCACCCAAAAAAATCCGCCTAACCAAAACAGCCTGACTTACGGGACAGGCGGTAATAGGGGTTTTATGGGTGGTGGCTGGTCGGGATGTACGATACTAGCCGACGGAAAGCCTTATTTGAACAGGTGAATGATCGAAGTTGGTCCGCTCTCCCTTCCGATATTACAAAATGGGACGCCAAAGGCAGTATAGTGGTAACGGACGAGTGGGAGGCGCATAATCATCTTCCCTCAGAAAGTTATCTATATTTCTCTGTTAACCGCTCAAAGAATTTCAAGGACCCTACCACCGGACGGTACACCAACGCCATTGAGGCATACTGGAGTAGACTGAAAAGGAAACTCCACGAGGGAGACCCTGTATGTGGTCGAGCTGTGTGGGCTCACATAGACGAAGTACAATATCGTCTTTGGTTTGGCCTCAATGCCATGTCTATGACAGATGCCTGGAAACTGTTCCTGACCCATGTTGTGCAGACTTATCCTATTTAAAAGTGATTTTGCTTTGTAATAAACTGCCGTAATGCGAATGTACGCCGTATATTCAGGTGTACGTTTGTAGCGATGATGAAGGTTGGGTAACAGCGAACATCGTCCATGTAACCTCCTGTGATGTTTGTTCGGCCAGCCCATGTTAGGCCATCGAGGAAAGTCCAAGTAGTGCGTGAAAGTAGGCCTTCAACTGCTGATATAGCCTGAAGGCGTTTGAGTGCCATCTCCCGATTGTTACCCTGGGAGCTAGGGGCAAACGACTATTCAGACACTTCGGTACGGTATCCCACTCGGACACTGGAAGGCGGCGTGAGGCGACACCATTGAAGTGAAAATTGACATGGCGCTCACTGCGCCACGAATGTAGAGAGATTTGAGTGTGCGCCCCTGCATACGAGTTGGCGGAGAAGGAGGAGGTTTCATTGAGAGCGGAAATATGGGAACTGAGGTCAGGGGAGGTGGACGAACGAGGAATATGAGACCACAGCGGCACATCAGCAGCAATGCCCGGGACGGCAGCCTTCAGACGGTCCACACTCACTGCCGCTTCGCTACAGGGACCGTTGTAAGGTGGCTCCATTGGCTGGCTCATTCAGCCACATCGGACAAAAGCGTGATTGCCTTTCGTCGTGTCTCTTCAAGATAAGATTCAAGGGCGGTTGGCCACGGTCGAACCGGGGAGAGGATCGGAGTAAATTATCGGAATGGACGTAACTTAGTAGGGCCCTTGTTTTTACCGGCAGAGGTTGGGAAAGCATCGAAAAGGGTAACCGCACAGTGGCGCCGAAAACAAGTTCAGCGGCCGTGCAGGCAAGATTCTACTTGAGGACCGTACGAATGCCCAAAAGTGCAGAGTATGCTACCCGGACTGTCTAGACATCACGCCACATGCGCGCAACCAAGGTCGTGTACCTCTGTTCAGACAACGTTGGTGCTGATTAGTCACCCTTCAGCCTACGACATTCCCCCTCCTGCCATATATGAGGCTGCCCACTTGTGCTCTCTCATACTCAGTTCACGCCCTATTTACAGCTAACCTTCTGTTTTGAGTACATAACAAAAAGGCTCATCAAATGGTGGTTGTTTCAGTTATCCAAATCCTCATTGGTTCGTAGAGCAATTCTCATTTACCCGGGAAACGACTCCAGGCTCCCTCTATTATCCGGGTGATAGGCTATTGCCGGAACCCCGCAGCAACCAAAAATGAAAGATGGGTTTCGAAGAGCCCTGGTTTCGAGCTTAGTTGCGTGGAGGACGCAGAATATGGCGACCCGATGACGGACACACTACCAGACCACGTTAGGTGCCCCCAATTTGTACATATGAATAGCCTCTTATCCGCTAAGTATGCAATCGACACAGGTGAAGAGATAAGTGCAGCCATCAAAGGAAGTAAGTGGGTCCACAATTTTGGGGTGGATTTAACTGAACCAAGCGTTAGGCGCGCAAAAGGCACCGGTCAGAATGTTATTGTCTTGGTGCACCTTGCTGCGTCGGCAACCAAGACAAGTCCGCGTCCAAACTGTTGGCTTCTTCAACATGCCAACTCAAATGAATCGACCAGCCTCTAGTTCCACCATTGTTTCGACCTCAGTGAGTGAGAGATTGCAAAGGTAAGTAGAGGATTTTTGACGCAAGGATGGGAGAAGTACGAAAGCTTGATCGAAGGGGTCGGCTAACTTTCATAGAACATGCCATTACTAGCGGTATCGGGACGTCCTAGAGTTGGAGACCTGAAGCATCCCCATTCCCGTGCAGATGACTCAGCGATGTTGAGCGTCCCCTGTAATGAGGTCGACTCCCTGGAAAGCTGAAAGTGAGGGAACAGTACGTCAAACACGTGATTTCATGAGTTGCCAGCGCGAGAATGTCAGGGGCAAACTGAAAACTCAGTCCAACTGGCGGATCTGTCCAGGGTCAAGCTTTTCGAGGCGGGAATGCGAAGAAAATGCGAGTGGTTTGAGGCCTGCCTAAATGTGCTGCAACATATTTCGGTCAGCAGGAGTTTCTTGACGAATAAGAGGAAGAAGATGTTGCTGAATAATTGGACCAAAAAAAAAACACTGGTGCACCTACAGTTGAGGAGACAGGCATGTCGTTATGAAGGAAAGTCGGGAGGGTATTATCAGCCAGGATGATATTTACCCGCCCAAAAGAGGTATGGACTGGGGGTACAATTTCGAAGGAACGCCTGGGACCAGAGTAGAGGTTGGTCAGGGGGAGGATGATGTCGGCACACTTCGAAGGCGGGATGGAGAGAAGTCGGAGGTGGAGATTCATCACCTTCAGGTAACTGTCAATGACCTTGACGAAAGAAGACGAGCGCTCTTGAAGTCCATTCGATGGTTTAGCAACTCGAGGAAAGAAGACCTCATCAAGCACCTACCAGGACACAATGTTACGTCTAACTGCTGAAAACGGTCGAAAAGGAAAGCCGTGTTTTAGTGATATTCCTAAACACTTCCACTATCAATCTAAACTTCGTTAATGTAAGCACGAACAGAAGAAAGACCGCATAGGACACGACCAATGAATTGTTAGGTTTGTGGGCAGGGGATGACAATGGGTTTTGAGGAGAAATTCGAACAAACTAAAGAGAATCGCAACAGCAGCTTTTCGCCTGTTCTCAGAGGAGATCGTCGTGTAATGCAAGCTGTGACCAAGTTAGTCTTTGAGAAGATTTTCTTGTTAGGGAGATCTCCGTAAAATTCGGAGATTAGGAATAGTGACACTGTTCAAGGTCCTATAGTCTCCCTAAGGACGTAACTCATCCATCTGCAGCCTGCGAACTGTGTGCAATGGAAATTCCCAGGGACTACCAGACTGCAAATGACCCCTATTAGCTACATGTAATCAAATTCGACTTTGATTGAGGTATGACAAGTGAAATTAAAACGTCACTGACGAGGGAAAATAGGAAGATCAACTGTCTTCTATTTGATATACAATATCATGCCGCAGGGAAAAGTCATAAAAGCGAGACTTGATGAGAGTTGGTCATCCAGCTAAGAGTTTTTAGGATGGGTAACCGAGGTTGAGGTATAGGACAGAGAGATAGTGGGAAATTAATGATGGATGAAAACCTCTTGCGACAGGGTAACGGCTAAATCGCGCAGGTGGAGTTACATGCAATCAACCGGAAGGTCGAAGCGGCAAGAAAGTCAGTACCAAGAATGGCGCGATCAATAACACCTACCACAAATATCTAGGTATTAAGTAGAGTAGAAACAGTCTGTGCGAGTTGAGCGCTCTGCGCCCTGATTTCTAGCAGATTAGAGGGAGCGGACGGTTGTGAGATTTGGGTAATCGTTGGGTCCTCAGAACCAGAAGACAAAACGGTTTGCAAGAACGTTGATAAGCGTTCCAGTAGCGCTCTTTAACAACTTTCTCCAATGGTCATGTCCCTAAGACAGAAATGCATGCGACAAAGTGGATTCTACGGTCCATGACGACCTAATGATTCTTCCTTTACCTGCGAAAGGTAACGCTAGCAATCGAAAATTGGAGTTAGACAAAGAAGTTCCGTCATCTGCATCCAGGGGCGTCGTCAGGGCATCTCAAACGGGTTTCAAGTAGTTCGAAAATTTTGGTGAGCAGCCCTGTGACCAGCGTTCAATAAGTGACAATCGCCCATGTACTTTTAATAGAATGTAAAAAAAACCGCAACATGGACATGCGAAGTTTCAGAATAAGTCCACATTCTGGAAGGGGGCGCAAGGCGACAGTGAAAGGGTCACCAAAAACTCAGGTCTGAGCCTGTAGACCGTAAATATACTGATCTACTCCAAGTTCGCAGTTAAATCTACAAGGGTCGCCAATGTCCGTAGAGCTCGTAGCGGACATAGTGACAGGGAAAACGAAAGTTGGGATGATCAGAATGACCGAAATTCACTAAGGGTAGAGCAGCAGGGTCATAGAAGAGGTTGAGACGAGTCCGAAGTTTAAAGATCACACGTCTGGACGCCAAAGCGTTAGCAATGGCGTTGCCGAAATGGCTGCTAAAAACCTGGTTAGAAGCCTATCTGTAGAACGGTTTATAAATGGCGAGCCGGCAAGACCTAAAATCCCGAATGCGGAACATCTACTTCGTATGGACGACAGGACTAAGCATTTTATGCGAAAATTCGTTTTTAAAAAAATCAAAAGAAGTGCTCCAATCTGCACAGGCCCACGCGTTTTGAAAGCCTTACAGCAATTTGGAAGGATTGATAAAATTAACTTCTCAGGTAAAAACAAAGAGTCATTCAGGAGATTTATTGCGGATGTAAGTATTGTGTATTGTGTTCATATAAGGCGGATAAGAAACCCTTTTTCTTTCACAGTATACGCTGTGACTGTTGATGCTGATCTCTCGGCAGTATAAACGTAGAATGACAGTCTTTTTAGATTAGATGGCCTCCACTGTTATAATCAAAGATAACAAATGAATGCTTGACTATGGAACTTTTGGAAGAAAGAACTAATTGGAGATTACTAGTGCTTTTCAGAATATAGATCTGGATATGGTGGAGACAAATGTAACTGAAATTTGGTATCCACTAGCCGAGTTGGGACATTATAAAGCCGATTTTAGATTAGTACTTGGACCAACGTTGACGCCAGTATCATTTTTTGACTTTCGCACTCGGATCCCTTTGAATAGTCATCAGGGGCAGAAGACATAGGGATAATCAGAAGAAAAAGTGGCGAGCGAATGTTGCTTTCGATAACATCTCGTCAAGCCAGGCTACATTGAGTGAAAAAATCGATAAAAGTCAGTTTTTAAAATACAGGCTAGTCAAGAGCCTAGCCTGTATTGTTGTTAGTTAGCCTGTTGTTGTTAGCCTGTATGCTGTTAATCAACCTTTGACCACGGTAAGCGCAGAGCCTAACGAGGTTCTTCTGGGCTCATTGGGTCGGGTTTCGTAACCCGTTAGCGGCCGCTTCTGCTGTTGCTAACAGGCGCTGGCCCAGTATCCTAGGGTAGTCCGAGGGGACCTTATAAATCACGCGAAATACTTCAGCGGGATCCACGCAATGCCCTGAATCCACTGCATGCGCAAGGATGGCGCTGTCTATTCTCCTAGTTCCACCTTTTGCCAGCTATGCGGGAAGGTGCTCTAGTATTCTTTTGCAAAGACGCCGACTCGTACGGCCAATATAACCTGCTCCACGGGAGCAAGCGAATGAGTAGATGCACACTGAGGCGGTCTGAGGTGGCAGCCTATCCTTGCCTTCTCCGCAGTACTAACCACTGATCTGTGCTTCCGTAAAATGGTATTGTACTTCGTCGTACATACTGGTCACCACGGACATGACCACAAGGGGCAATTGGAAGTTTTTAATGAACCAGAATAATTTTTGGCAGTTTCCTGAAACTGCTGAAGTGATAGAAAAGAATAACAGCAGCTGTGTCTAATTTTGTAAAAATGTTTGTCTCCATTCGGTATGCCTGTTTGTTGAAGTACAAGATGTAAAACGTGTAGGATCAGACATTGTATGGAAAATAAAGGCCTTGACGCACTGGGTCTGAAAATAAGGCTGTATAAGTCGCATACGAAAGTTTGCATAATAAACGCGTGCGCTTTGCTACTCTTACAG